TCAAAGCGTGCTTTTCGTTTTTTTTGCGACATTGGCCAGATGAAACCTCCCAAAATTTGGTATATTAGGACTGTGGCCACCTTGGAGGACATTTTATTTCATTTTCACTACTTATCATAACTATGTAAAACTTTGTAGAAGCCGTGAAAATTTATTACGTCATGACGTTTGGTGCGGGAACTTCAAGGCACCGCCACCACCCATATTTTTGTTTTGCACGTGTTTTTCTTTCGCTTACGAAGTGTCTTGTCACGGCAAGCTTAGTAGTTTTTGGAATTGTGGCGGAGCGATTCACTAATACAAGACAAATTGTTTTTCTCTCTAGTATTCCATCAAGGCACCGCGTTGATGGAGTACTAGAGAGAGCGCCGGTTAACTCTTGCGTTACTGCGCAAAATGGCTTTTTTTTCCTAGGTCTCGGGAATATTGTTTTACAGGTTTGAAAAGTACTCCAAGACGCAATGCAGCATACCAAAGTTCTGAAAATATAACACTCTTTCCAACAAATATATCTTGTGGAGCGCCGAAAATATTTCAGAATAATTAAAAATTGAAAAAGTGCGAAATTTGGTTGCCAGTTGGTAAACAGTGCAATATAAACCGTTTAAATGCAAAATAACTCAAAACAAAGAAAAGTCATAATATATATTTTGAAGATAAACGTCCCTGGAACAGTATAAACAATATTAAGTGCTGTAGAAAATATTTATATTCACATAGACGAAGAAAATCGGAACTGATGTGCTGCTTCGTTGTTCGAGCCATCCTCAGAAGCATTGCTTAGTCTTTCTTGAGACACAATCAAACTCGTACACTTTTCTCAGTAAATATTTGTTTTGTTTTTTTGTGATAAAAGCCTCCAGGTGTTCAAATATTGCTTGATATTCGTGATGTGAATAATACTTTTTTAAACCAGATGTCCAATGAACTTCGCTCTTTCGTCTAGCGTAACCTCTTTCCATGAGCCACCTCACTTCACATATGTATGCATTCCTATTTTTTCATGCAAGCATATTTCTTTGCATTTTCCACATCGTATTGAAAAAAAAAGAACGATATAACGTGAAGTTCTGAAACGTTTCGAGCTGCTACGTAGTCAGGACTATGATGTGCTCTGGTGGCCTCCTTGTCTTCAGGAGAAGCTCTGCATCCGGAGCCAGCACACCGCGCCCTGGTGAGGTGGGGACCTCGCTCGTAACCGAAATAGCTATAAAATTGTGCACAAAGGTCAGTAGCTACGCACTTGCGGTGGAGAAGACAACTTGAGCCGTAAACAAAAAAAAAAAAAACTCGTGAACAGCTGTGGATGTCTCAGGCCGGCGCAAAACATCATCGCCACAAAACTTGAAGTTGTGGTTTCGTCATCCACAGACTCTAAGTTCGTCCTCACTCAGTTCAGGTGGGGTTGCAAGACCGTTTCGAGTGGTGTTTGTGTTTGGCTGCGCTGTTGCGCGCCCATGCACGCGTGACGATGACGGCATAGGAGCGACTAGTGACATGTGACGCGACTTTGTATCTGATATAACAATACAAGCGAAACAAAAGCTGCTGGAAACTGGCTGAGAAGGTCACCTCAATATTTTAAACATGCGACAGACCTTCGGAAATATTTTTGTAGACTAAATTTTGACTGACGCGCAGCAACAGCCTGATATTGAATAGCTGGTATAAATTTTCGGCAATTTTATTGTCCAACACTGTCAAGTTGCGAAGCTGACTTTTTAATTTGATATTTGGCTTACAAAAGTTCTTTTGATTACAGACTTTTGATGATACTTAAGCATAATAACGAGGGGCACGCACTTTTGTAAAGTTTGCCAGCCTAGTGCATTTTTCCAATAGAACACGCACCTTTCGTGCAAACGTATTTCAGAAATCACTTAGTTGTCAAAACAGGCAAATTAAAAGTGATTCCTAAAGTTGAGTTGCTGGACTAACTAAAAACAGGCAAATTAAAATTGATTCCGAAAGTCGAGTGGCTGGACTAACAAAAACTGGGAAATTAAAATTGATTCCGAAAGTCGTGTAGCTGGACTAACTAAAAACAGCAAATTAAAATTGATTCCGAAAGTTGAGTAGCTGGATTAACTAAAAACAGGCAAATTAAAATTGATTCCGAAAGTTGAATAGCTGGACTAACTAAAAACAGGCAAATTAAAATTGATTCCGAAAGTTGAGTAGCTGGACTAACTAAAACCAGGCAAATTAAAATTGATTCCGAAATTCGAGTAGCTGGGCTAACTAAAAACAGGCAAATTAAAATTGATTCCGAAAGTTGAGTAGCTGGACTAACTACTAGAAAGTGCTGTGTGCACGACAAACAAATTCAACATGCCGAAATAGACGAACGAAAGCTTCGATTACCAGTGACCGATTTGAATAGGAGTGGCGACGAAAGAGTTAATGGCGGCCGAAAGCCCCTGATGTTGCATTGCAAAAGCTTTTTACTTCCCACCTTTACTCTCGGAAAACTAAGGACCAAATGCAGGCTAATGTGAGAAGCAGAAGCACGTCATCACTTCATCTTCATTTTGTTCCTCCACTGTGGAGCGTGTTGTGTTTTGGAATTGAACACCGCGGAGGGTGGATGCGGGCGATAGACAAAACTTTGTCCCCTTCCCCTCCCTTCATGAAGAACACTTCGGAAGCCTGTATATAACCGTATTGTTGAAAGAAAGCTTACTTACTCATTTAGAAAAGTCATGCCGCAGTTTCGGAGCTGTCAAAGGTGAAAATAAATAACCTCCGTATCCATACTAGTGCGTCATTTGAGAAGGTAAGTTCGATTGATGTCGCAGCTTCCTCAAACAAAACTTTAGTATGGAAAAGTATAGAGCTTAAATGTGGAAGCGCTGCATCAAGCTAATGTTTTGCGCTTCGCAGTAGTATATTTGGCATATAACTACCCAGGCAATAAACTGAAAGCGGGATGGCACCCCATCTACTTGTAGTATTTTTTAGCGCTACCTATTAAATGCTGGCGACTAGCGGTGTCGGTGCTGCGTCGAACGGACTCACTTAGTTGGTGGACAAAGTTCAATTGAAGAAGGACGGTTTGTCGTAATGTTATAACTGGCTTGAATTCAGTGGAGCTGCTCGCTTTATCTGGTACACATGCCAAATAAATGACAAAAGCTGTGTTTTCAAATAAGCAGAAAAAAATTTATTATCCTCAAAGCCTACTTTGAATGCTCCTATATTTAAAAATATGTTCAATTGCAAAATTATATGTGATAAGAAAAATGACATTCTTCAAGCATCCATAACTAATTCAAAGCAAAACAAGCAGCGAAAATTTGGTTAGTGCACAGAATGTCTTACCTGCAAAAAAAACAATATTGTTTTTGGATATATCACATCTTACCAGCCATGCTGTTCCAGACAGACGCAGCAAAATGCTGACTTTTTTTAATGAAAAATACAATACAAGGACAAGAATAACGCGCGAGTTGGTAGATCTGCCCACTTGAACAAGTAGCACAACAAAAGCGATGACACAAGAAACATCGAGACTTTCTTACCAGTGCTCGTCAGGTCTTCTCGTTTCTTCTTGTGTCGCTGTTTTTATTGTGTTTGTTGTTCAAGTATAAATAAAACACACAGCTGACATTGAAGGCTTGTCGTGTAGTCAATTTGATAATCCTGGTTTGTGTTCAATTTTTCGCGATTCGGCCTATGATGCATTGCCTGTCGAATAAATGCATATCATCTTGATATCACCTTGATAGGAGACACTGAGTTGACATTAACCACGATAAAATGACTTAAAAGACTAGCACAGAAATGATCGCACTGAAGCCCGACAGCTGAAGCGACGTCCCATTGCCTTCTACGTATCATTGGCATATATTACTACAAAACTACGACAATTGCCAAAAAAATTGGTAGGGCTCACGTAGGATGCTGATAATGGTCTCTGTCTCTCATGGTTTGACAAGTATTTGGCTGAGCGTTTCTAAGAAACCGAGAACGCGAAACGCACTGCGCGTCACAATGGTGTAATAATACTGCTTTTTCAATCAATATTATCCCCTTAGCAAATTGTTTTACGCAGGCAAATCGCTTTGCATGCTAGGGAGTTTTCAAGAATATTTGAACAAGTTGCTTGTCAGGAATGAGACTCGTAATTATGTCATGAATAATTTGGACTATTATGGACACACACTATTTTAATAGTTGCCTATTTTTCGAAACCTGTGAAGTATGTGACGACGATACGTCATGGGAGCACCGACGTTGCTGTCCCAGCCACAAAATCAAGCTTAATTTTCCGGTCTGAACATAGTGAAATAGCGATGCTGTACTTGTTATATTTGTTTCGGGGATGTTATTCGGGTAAGATAAGACGTCTGGCCTTCGAAAGGTGGGGTTATCCCAAAACTTCACCCAAGAAAAACAACAAAAAGAAAATAAGAAAAAGAAACCAGCTTTCGAAGCAATTCGCCTAAACATTATTCACAAGAACAGTTCAATAAAGCAAGCATAAAAATAATTGAGATTGTGAGAGCTAACGAATTTATAGCCTATTTCTGTTCTTATATTTGTTTTAAACATTTAATTATATCATGCTTACTCTCCCTAATTTGAACTTAGTACAGTTTTTGTCTTGTTCTCTTACCACCCGCTCCCGCCGTGGTGGTCTAGTGGCTGAGGTGCTCAGCTGCTAATCCGCAGGTCGCGGGTCCGAATCCCGGCTGCAGCGGCTGCATTTCGGATGGAGGCGGAAATGTTGAAGACCTGTGTGTTCAGATTTGGGTGCCCGTTGAAGAACCTGAGGTGGTCGAAATTTCCGGAGCCCTCCACTACGGCGTCTCTCATAATTATATGGTGGTTTTGGGACGTTAAACCCCACATATCAATCACCTAACTGCTCGTTATTGCGTGTTTAACGCAATATTAATGTGATCTAAGAGGCAATAATGTCACTGAAAGTATAGGGGAAGTTATAAGACCAAATTGTAATGTCATGTGAAAAAAGAAAAGTAGGTGAAAAGATAGCTTGCCATGGGCAGGAATCGAACCTTCGACCTTCGAATAATGCGTTCGATGCCCTACCAACCGAGCTACCATGGCGGCGAGTGTGGCACACTTTTTATGATCCTGTGTAGCGTCACGTAGCACGTTAACCCATTACGGTTACAATATATATATATATATATATATATATATATATATATATATATATATATATATATATATATATATATATATATATATATATATATATTAGTGACAAAAGAAGTATTATTAGATAGTGATGAACAATGGGGGTAGCTAATCTCAAATTAAAATGGGAGGGAGAAAATCTAAGCAATGTGTAAAAGTATATTAATAGTCTTTGAAAAGAGTTTACAGAGTGAATGCTCCGCATACCACATTGCAACATGTTTCGCGGAGGCTGAAAAGCATAAGGTTGTATGAAAAGTGCGAAATGGCTGTGGATCTCTTCTATGTTATATGAATATACGGAAACTACAGAGTCAGTCAGAAAATGAAAGATTGGCTGTTTTACCAGTAAGTCATGTTATTTGGTTCTGCAAGTATAGAAAGTGAAGGCTATTATTTTTGCAACAGTAATAAACAAGAAAAAAAGTGCAGCAGGTCCCGCGCACCGTGTGAATCAATGATATGCGAAGCATTCATCGAAAAGCTTACTATGCGGCACTTTTAGAAAGAGCATATTTTTTACAAAGTGAATGGATGTGGAACTCCGTAAACATCTGTAAAAATTTCATGGGCATTCTACTATCTTTAAAACATGCAAATGTGATAACTGCTTATTCACAGCTGCGCAACGCTACCACCACTGACGTGCACACTACCAGCTCCATAGGATAAAAAGTTGTGCTTCCATTAGTCAGTGATATTGGTTACGTGATACGTAATACTGTGCAGATATTTTTTCGGATGGGGGGGTGGGTGGACTTTGAGGCAAGAGCCGCAAAGTGAACCGACGTAGTCATTGCGTGCATAGTTGCACAGTAGCATACCATAACCCTCCATAAAGAAAACGACATAATTTCAATGAAGAAGTGTGCAAGGCAGGGAAACGCGATCTCTCCAATGCTATTCACCGCGTCTTCACAGGATGTTTTCAAGGCCCTAGATTGGGAAGAGTTAGGAAGAAGAGTTAATAGAGAGTAACTTGTAATCTGTGATTCGCTGATCACATTGCATTGAGGAGTAACTCAGGGGACGAACTACAGCTCATGATTACTGAACTGGACACGGAAAGCAGAAACGTAGATATGAAATATATTATGCACAAAACTAAACTAATGTGTAACAGTCATGGCAGAAAACAGCGCTTTGCGTTAGGTGCAGAGACCCTGGAAGTTGTAAAGGAATATCTCAACTTAGGACAAGTAGTAACCGCGGAGCCGAACCACGAGAGTGAAATAACTAGAAGAATAAGAATTGGGTGGATCACATTCGGCAAGCGTTCTCAAAGCATGAATGTTGGCCTATGACTATTTTTGAAGAGGCATCTTGCCGGTACTTACTTAGGGAGCAGAAACCTGCAGGCTGATAGAGAGGGTTCACCTCAAATTGACGGCAACGCAGCGAGCGATTGAATGGAAAATGATAAATGTAACCTTCAGAGACAGAAAGAGAGCCGATTAGGTCAGCGAACAAATGGAGGTTAAAAATATTGCAGTTGAAAGCAAGAAGAAGAAATGGACATGGGCCGGGCACATAGCGCATAGGCAGGATAACCACTGGTTATTAAGGGTATCTGAATAGATTCCAAGACAATGCAAACGCGCGATGGGTAGACCGAAAATTAGGTGGACGGGTGAGAATAAAGAGTTGAGATGAGATTAAAGAGATGAGAATAAAGTGCAGGAATAGCGTGGCTGCAGAAAGAACAAGAACGAGTGGATTGACGGAGGATGAGAGATTCTTTTGCCCACAGAGGGCGTAGTTAGGTTGAAGAATAAGATGATTACGTATTACCAGTTGTGTGCAGCAGTTGTATGCACATAATGGGCTCACAAGGAAGCTCCCTTACACGGCCTTTACTAGTGCTACACTGGGTAACCTAGGGTCCCACATAACGCCAGTTCTCGCATTAGAACACAGAATTCAGTATTATTGCAACAAAGGTGGGACGATATGAATATCGTACTTGACTTTGATAGTATTCTTCAGGGATTGAGAAACGGTTTAATATAACTTGCTGAATCACTAACATAAAAATATAATGCCTACTAGACTGATATGAAAGAAGATTCAACCTTGTAACTACATGATGTTTTTGCCATATGTTTACACATGTAATGTTTATTGCTTTGTGATTAAGTTAGATAGCCTGCACACAATCCAACTTTTCCATTTTCGTGTGCTGCTCTCTGGCGTTTGGTTGGGCTTGGTAGATAGACGCCGGGAGAAGTGGCATCGCCAGAACGAAGGTCTCCGAGACCTGGAGTCATTTCGCGAATTGGCCAGGGAAGGGCCCACGCACCGTGGCATCGTAGAAAAGGCGGATTGAGGTTGCACCGACTTTACGCTCACATAGTATCGTTTTCCCCTCTAGTTTTGAGACCTGGCATGTTTTTGCGGTAAACTCCGTCATGGCCACGCAGAACACTTGGGTTCAATTCTTCCGGAAGTCCTCATTTTTAATGCAATAGCGTCAGACAGCTCGGTTCGCAGAATTTGCCGGTGAAGGTTTCGGCGAAGACGTATTTGTGAGCGAAAAATTATCATCTATTTCGGGACCGAAAAATTGAGCAAGATGCAAATAACATAAATAATTAAAACTCCTGGTTCTGAGTGAGGATCAAACTTAGCTCGTTTGCTTGGCATGCAGGTGTTGTACCGCACAGCCTCACGTCTGCTTAGATATGCAGTGAAAATAACTTGATCTGCTTTGAAATGTGGTGAAAATGACATTCATGCCTTTCACGCACACGCGTTCTGTATACAGGTTTCACTATATAACCTGCAATATTGCAGAAATATTGTGGTGTACAAGCGTACATTGCCATTGGGTGTGAGAACATGTAATGATCATAATGACTTTGTTGTTTAAAGACGACCACCCAATACAAAAGACACTCGCGTTACTCCGCGTATTCTCTAAAGACCATGTAGTGGGTGCATAGCAAGTTTGAAAATATTTCACGCTCATAATTGCCCATGGTTTATAGCATGCTACCCATTACCGTGACAGACTGCCGTCATATGCGAAAACTTCACTGGCACCAGCCACTTTCAACTTTATCAATTGCATTGGAATTATCTAAAATTTATTGTTCTCGAGTAACGTCGTATCATAAAAAATATGCACAAGGTGGTTAAAGTGCGCACTATGGACAAGATATCACTATCGCGTTCAACTGTTAAAGATGAAGCTTAAGGATTGCATTCGTTTTTATCACTGCATTCGTAGGGTCCACGCTGGCGATGTCAATATAACACGCTCGCATTCAAGTCACCAATGTTTGTCCTCGCCGTTCCTCGTAGATATACAAGACCAATTACCGCGGCTCGTTCTATTCAGGTATGCGCCACACATGTCTTAAGGGTTTGACGTGCAAGTGACGGGGTTTTCACATCATTCATGTTTGGACCAGACAGTCATAATCGTCAAATCCCCTTGCATTCCCGTACCAATTTTGGCCTGCATCAAGGTAAAGAGATGACAACGAGAGCACCCAGATGATGGCAACCAGATAGATAGATAGATAGATAGATAGATAGATAGATAGATAGATAGATAGATAGATAGATAGATAGATAGATAGATAGATAGATAGATAGATAGATAGATAGACGTATTTAAAAGTTGTGCCATTGTATATCACGTTCGAAGACTGGGTTTGGCCGTATGCGTTAACATATGATCGGTAAAAATAGGTGTGCAATATATTAACAGATAAACAACAACGACGACAACAACAACGACAACAACAACAACGACGACGACGACAACGACAGAAGCAACAACAACAGCAGCAACAACGACAGCAGTGACAACGACAACAATGACAACAACAACAGCAACAGAAACAACGACAACAACAACAACAGTTACCATGGGACCAAAAACATTGTTGGCAGCACCAGCAAGCTGGTTTTTTTACATGCATACTATGCGTGCGGAAAAGCCTGAAGTAGTATATGAAAGCATTAATGGGCGGTTCTCCACGCCTACGACTAAGGCGTTCAAGTATGCTAGCTAAAAAGATCTGCGAACTGAACCATTGATTTTAAATATAGAACCATCGAAAAGCAAGTAGATTTTTCTAAAAACTTTTCAAGAGCAACAAAAGATGGGACCCAAGAAACACCATGACAAAGCGCTTACTCGCAACTATTTTTTTTTCTTCTATGAGCTTCTCATATCAAAGGACGACTGGACACTTTTAACAGAGCTGAGCAATGAAGAAAAAAATTAAGGGTTATTATTTATGAATTGCTAAATAACAAAACCCACAATATGACACAATCAGAAACTGCTAACAGTGAAAAAAGAAAGGAATAAAGTCTCGGCAATCTGCGACGGGGTATATTATCAAGAGACGTGCACTTTTTGTGAAGCGCCACAAAAGCGTGGCTTACACGAGGTTCCCCTCGCCTTCTCATGTGACAGTACTTCACTTGTTACCGTATTAGCTGAATGTTACTCATAAGAACAATTTCTGTCGCATTAAACGAAGGATCACAACCATACGCTCTACAGTGCGCCGCCAAATGGTACGATACAGATGATTTTAATTATCGTTCGTGCTTCCTCTGGGACATATTATTACAGTGTTCTTGTCCTGTTGTTTCTTTTTTGTGTCCCGTCTTTTGTTGTGCTTAACAAGTTTTAAAAATAAATGTATACCAACAAGCCCATTCATTTATTTTTTGTGCCCTACATTTATGCAGCGGCACTGCTATTCGTGTAAGGATTGTTCACCCTTTGCTCTTTTATGACGACACATTAACATATTTTGTCTACAGCTCTCTTCATCTGGGCTTGCTACATTTTTTTTTGTTTCAGAAAAAAAATATGACTAGGGACGGCAGAAAGAAAAAAAAAGAAAGTTAAAAAAAAGGCGAGAGAGCAAGATTCGCAGATG